GCTCTCAGTGACCAGCACAGGGCAGGGCTGAGCAGAGCGACGTTCCACAACCCTGTCCTGCCCTGGGCTGGTGTTTAGGTGCTGCCCCTGGCTCCTCTCTTGCTGGGTGCGAGCGAAACCCGTTGGGCACCTTGTTAGCACAGCAGGAAAAAACACTACACAGTGTAGCAGGTTCTGCACTGCTGCCGCCCTTTGTGTTCCGCGGGTGAGACAAAAGGTTTGTCCCTTCTCCTGGCTCCAAAGGAGCGACTTTTCTGGGTGCTAAGGTACAAAATAAGGTTCTGAGCCCCCCGGCTCCCACCATGCCTGGCTCTCCGGTGCCACCATGGCAGGATGCAGGGATGCTGTTCCACATCTTGTTTGATATTTGCGACTGTCTCATCTCCCCGGGCCTAGGATCATCCTTGCAGAGAGCGGGGACGCGTCAGCCCCGTCCCCTCCTCCCTCATATCTTAAACTTCACCAACAAACCTGCAAACAAAGCAGCATCTCGGAGGAACGTGCTAAAAATAGCCCTTGGCTTGGGGCCGCGCTGTGCAGACAGGTTCACGTGCAGGCAGCGTCCCGGCCCTTTCCCGAAACCTTGCGGGCTGCTTGGCGGAGATGCTGGGAAACGGAGCTAAGAGCTTATGTAAGAGCGGCCGCATCCAGGACTGGTCCTGACCCGCCACCGGAATGCGGCCCCAGCAGCGCGTGCCAGGCGGCTCCGCAGCCAGATAAGCCCAAATCTCGGCCTGGGTGGAATGTGGGACAAGGGAAGCGGGGCTGGAAAGCCCTTTTCATGCCATGGATCTCTGCCCTGTTTGTGGCACTGACTCGTGGGAAGGCTGCTCCATGGGGCCAACGTCGCCATCCTCTTCCCCAGGGAAGGAAGGAAGAAACGAAGTGGCCAGCGTGGAAGTGGCCTGATGGTTCCTTGGCCTGAGCTCCGGGCATCTCGGGGTGGGAGCTGGTGGCCAGGAGCCTGACGCTGATCTCCATCCCTAGGGAACCCAGAGGGGGACGTGCAGCCCCTCAGCCAAGACAGTCATTTTCCCTGCTGAGAGTGCTGCCAACGCGGGGGGATCCTGGCCGTGCCCTGGCTGGTGTGAGGGCTCTGCCACATCCTGCACTTGGTGGGATGAGAGTCTGTGGGAGAGCGTGAGGTCCCCAGGCCGCGGGGACGGCCGCTCGCCCCGGTGCCTCCCGGCGCCGCGGGGAGCAGCAGGGAGGTGCAGGGAACCCCTCGGCCACCCCTCGTGGCACCCCAACACTCGAGATGCACTGTGAGCTTCCTCCTCAGTACTGCGACACAGGTAAGTGCTGGGTGTCCCCCAGACCCAGGTGCTGCAGCACAAATGTCCCTCCTCACTGCGGTCCCTCAGCATGTGGGGCTGGGAGCATCTCCTCATCGCCGTCCTTGGGAGAGCAGATGCAGGGAACCCCCTGGCCCCACCAGAGCCTGGGGGTCCCCAGGGGCTCTGTGGT